CTTGGAGTCCTATGCGGGGCTCGATCTCACAACCCTGAGATCATGACCTGAGCCGAAATCAAGAATCGGCCGCTCAACCGGCCTAGCCACCCAGGTGTCCCTATAAAGAACTCTTGCGAATCGGGCTCCCTGCTCAGCCAGGAGCCTGCTTCTCTCTCTCCCACTCCTCCTGCTGGTGCACTCTCTCTCTCAAAATAAATTAAAAAAAAAATCTTAAAAAAAAAAAAAAAGAACTCTTGCGACTCAACTAAGAACCAAGCAAAGAACCTGAATGACATTTCTCCAAAGAAGATGTCCAAATGATCTATAAGCTATCTATGGAAAGATGTTTAACATTCTTGGTCATTTGGGAAATGTAAATCAGCACTCCAGCAAGCTGCTATTTCATACCACCAGAACGGCTATCATCAAAGAGATGGAAAATCACAGGGAGTGGCGAGGATGTGGAGAGAAGGGGACCCTCATACGTTGCTGCAGGGATTGTAAAATGGTGCAGCCACTTTGGAAAAGAGTTTGGCAGCCCCTCACAGGGTTAAACATACAGCTACCATATGACCCAGTGATTCTACTTCTGGGCATACACTCTGGAGAGATGAAAACACATCACACAAAAACTTGTATGTGAATGTTCATAACGGCATTATTCATAAAATCAAAGTGGAAACGACCCAAATGTCCATCCACAGATGAATGGATAAACAACATGTGGTCTCTCCATGCAATGGAATATTGTTCATTAGTAAAAAGAAATGAAGTATTGATATTTGCCACAACTTGGTTGAGCCTCAGAAACGTGATGCTAAGTGAGAGAAGTCACAACCGACCACATGTTATACAATTCCATTTATACAAAATGTCCAGAAGAGGCAAATCATCGAGATAAAAGTAGATTAGTGGTTGATTAAGTAGGGGTGACTGCTCATAGGTAGTTTCTTTTGGGGGTGATGAAAATATTATAAAATATTAATTGTGGTGATAGTTGCATTACTCTGTGAATATTCAAAAAAACATTGCATTGTACACTTTTAAGAGGTGAAATTTGGAGTATGTAAATTATACCTGTAGAGTTGTTTTTTAGTACACATTTTTCAAAATATGTACAATTGGACACCTAAAAAAGGGTGTATATTTTACTGCATGCCAATTATACCTCAACTTAAAAAATTTTCTAACACACACTAAAAAGTATATAAAATGAGCTCTAGAAGTTTTAAAACATAAATTATGGCTCCATAATCATGATTCCACTTAGTGTAAATATGGTACATTTTTCACTAAGAAAAGGAAAACATAAGCCACAAACATTTTGGTTCAAATTTTATTTATTGTCTGTCTGCCCTAGAATGTTAACCCACATTTTTTGTGTGCCTAAAACAGTGCCTGGCTCATTGAAAGTGCTCTATGAACATGTGTGGAAGAGAGGAAAGATGGAAAGGACCATGACATCTCAAATCTGCCATCTCCTGAGAGGCCCACCAGGGCCAATCCCCAACACTTCTTTTTTTTAAATTGTGGTAAAATACACGTAACATAAAATTTGCCATTTGAACCATTTTAAAAAATTTTAAGTACAATCTACCCCACCCCAATGTGGGGCTCAAACTCACGACTCCAAGATCAAGAGTTGCATGCTCTACTGATTGAGCCAGCCAGGCATCCCCCATTTGAACCATTTTTGTTGTTGTTGTTGTTGTTGTTGTTTTTAAAGATTTTATTTATTTATTTGCGAGAGAGAATGAGAGACAGAGAGCATGAGAGGGAGGAGGGTCAGAGGGAGAAGCAGACTCCCCGCTGAGCAGGGAGCCCGATGCGGGACTTGATCCCGGGACTCCAGAATCATGACCTGAGCCGAAGGCAGTCGCTTAACCGACTGAGCCACCCAGGCGCCCCTGAACCATTTTTAAGTGTACAGTTTGGTAGTGTTAACAATATATCCACATTGTCATGCAACTGCTCTCCAGAAGTCTTTTATCTTGCATAACGGAAATTCTATACCCACTAAATAACAATACCATGTGTCCCCCTCCCAGCCCCTGGGAGTCACCATTCTACCTTGTGTCTCTATGAATTTGACTTCTCTCGATATGTCATCTAAGTGGAATCACAGTATTTGTCTCATTGGGCCTGGCTTACTTCACTTAACACAATGTCTTCAAAGTTCACTCATGTTGGGGTGGCTGGGTGACAGACACTGGGGAGGGTATGTGCTATGGTGAGCGCTGTGAATTGTGCAAGACTGTTGAATCACAGACCTGTACCTCTGAAACAAATAATACATTATATGTTTAAAAAAAAAAAGGGGGAAGAAAATAGCAGGAGGGGAAGAATGAAGGGGGGGAAATCGGAAGGGGAGATGAACCATGAGAGACGATGGACTCTGAAAAACAAACTGAGGGTTCTAGAGGGGAGGGGGGTGGGAGGATGGGTTAGCCTGGTGATGGGTATTAAAGAGGGCACGTTCTGCATGGAGCACTGGGTGTTATGCACAAACAATGAATCATGGAACACTACATCAAAAACTAATGATGTAATGTATGGTGATTAACATAACAATAAAAAATTAAAAAAGAAAAAACAAAGTTCATTCATGTTGTAGCAAATTTCCTATAGCCCAAATTTTCAAGTCCCACTGCACCCAGGCCTCCAGGGTGGTAAGTGGCAAAGGGCAGGAGGAGGGCTAGGAATCTGCCGTATTCTGTATGTTCTGGCATGTGGGAGGAGAGAGGGATGAGACTTCCTGAGGACATGAGGGTAGCCTTCTTCGTTCTCTTGCATGGGCTTTTCTGCCACACACTCAGATTCCTGTTAGAGCCCCTCTGGGGATAGTCTGGGGACCAGGGACAGAGTAGTGGAGCTGATATGGGTTGGCACATTCTCAGGGGACAGGGGAGGAACACAGGCCCCTCAGGGGAGAAGGGCTGAGATTGGGGCACCTGCCCCAATGGCCCCCAACCCATTATGAAACTCCAAAAATTTTAGTTGACTTTTGCTATCACTGGTTGAGTGAATATATGACAAACCTGTGACTTCACTACCACTGTTAAGTGAATTTGTATCTTATTCACCAAAAATTGCATCTACATACATTTTAAAAGCAGCGGGGCGCCTGGGTGGGTCAGTTGTTAAGCGTCTGCCTTCGGTTCAGGTCATGATCCCAGGGTCCTGGGATCGAGCCCCACATCGGGCTCCCGGCTCAGTGGGAAGCCTGCTTCTCCCTCTCCCACTCCCCCTGCTTGTGTTCCCTCTCTCACTGTGTGTCTCTCTGTCAAATCAATCAATCAATAAAATCTTAAAAAAAAAAAAAAGGCAGCAGGACAAATACAGGCAAGACACGCTGTGGACACAGTCTATAGACAATAGGGAACCAGGCCTCATTGGAACCCGCTGGCCCCTGGTGATAACTTCAAGGCCTCATTCAAGCCCCCGGAGGTCGGCCACTGGCACAATGGGAAGGACACACTCCACCACTGGGGCTGTGAGGAAGAGCAGGCTCAAGGTTAGAGAGGATACATAGCGCATATTCACAGCATGCTCTACATCTTGAACTCACTTCACATATCACCAATCCTATCGAGTAGGGACTATTACTCTAATGCCCATTTTACAGATGAGGAAACAGGAATGTGGGGCACTGGAGGAGCTTGAACTGGGAGTGAAGACATCCACAGCCTCGTATCATTTTGCCACTGACCCTTGTTTCTTCATCTTTGAACTAAGGGGGTGGCACTAGAGGACATCACCTGCCCTTCTCTGAGGCTGAGCTCAGCGGCCAGCTGCCGCTTCCCCCAGCCCCATCACTGCTCCCCGGGTTCAAGCCCAGGGTGGGGGTGGGGGCGACAGGAAGAGCAGAGCCGCCTTGCAGGTCGCTGGGCAAATGCTTGACTGCTTCCTGGGGCAAGTCCAAGTCTGGAAAGAGAACGTTAAGAAGAAATTTCCATAGCCCTTCCCCCTGCCAGGGATTTTCCACTGTGCCTGGGCAGACACGCCCCTCGGTTTCCCCCGTGAGGGGCTCTGGCAATCCACAGGTCTTACCGAAAGGCTCAGCCCAGTGCTAGGAGGTGGCTAAGAGCTGGTTCTGGTTCATGCCCTAAGAAAGGGGCAAGTTTGTTGGGGGGGCACGACTGCCCCAGAGAAATGAAGAGAGGGGGTGGGAACCAGGATGGTGTAGAATGGAGTAGTCGGTCTGGAAGAATCAGAGCGGGGGGTGGGCAGGAACCATCCGGGGAAACCTCGAAGCACAGGGGCCCCGGGCTGGAACGGCAAAGGAGGGAGGGGGTTCCCACAGGCAGGCAGGAGAGCACAGAACAGATGAGAAGGGGAGTGATGTGGGCCAGCCTTGCGAGGGCGGCGGTGAACACGGGGACCGCGCCGGAGCCAGGAGGGAGCTGAATGCAAGAAATGGAAAATTTGGCGAAGCAGATGGCGCAGTCCGGGAGCGGACAGCCCGGCGGGCGCTCGCGCTGCAGGCGGTCCTTCAGCCTCTCCTCGGCGCTCAGGTTTAGCTCCGACGTCGCCCGCTCCCCAGGGAAGCCTTCCCGGGCCACTCCTGCAGAAGCAGCTGGAGTCCCCCCAGCGCGGCTCCGTGTGGCGTTTGCTCCCGCACTTACACCACCTGCGCTCACCCGCTTCTTCCAGGAGCGGCCTCCCTCCTGGACGCCGGGGTTCCAGGGCTTGCTCTCGGGGGGAGCCCCAGGGCCTGGCGCCTAGCAGGCCCTCCATAAATATCGCTGAGTTTCATTGAACTGCACTTGGAGTGTTAGGATAAAAGGGAAGTCTACAATGTCTCCCCCCGCCCCCTACTATATGCCAGGCAGTGGGCTAAGGGCTTTACAAACATGATCTCCTTTATTCCTCTGAACAACTCTGCTACTATTATCCCCGCCTGATATGAGGAACTGAGGCCCGGAGAGTCTGGTTTAGTTGCTCAAGGACACACACAGCCAAGATTTGAACCCACACATTTTAACCTCCAGCCCAGCACCGTCTGATAGAAATAGAATATGAGCCGCATAAATAATCAAAAAACTTTCTAGTAGCTACGTTAAAAAGATAAGCAGGTGAAATCAATCTTAATATTTTATTTAATATGACATACAAAAAATAGCATTTCAACATGTAATCAATGTAAAAAAATATCAGTGAGGTATTTTTACATTTTCTATTACTAAGCGTTCAAAACCTGGTGTTTGGTTTATACTTCTACTACCTGCTAAATTTTCATCAGAAAATGATCTGTGTTTAGATTTCATAAAATTTGGGTTGCATAAGTAGAGTCACATACCCAAGGTGTTCCACACATACTTAAATGTTTTCCAATAACTACATTATCTATTTTTTTATAAGATTTTATTTTATTTTTTAATTTTAATTTTTTTTTTAAATGAGAGAGAGAGAGAGCACATGAAAGGGGGGAGGGTCAGAGGGAGAAGCAGATTCCCTGCCCAGCAGGGAGCCCGATGCGGGACTCAATCCCAGGACTCCAGGATCATGACCTGAGCCGAAGGCAGTCGCTCAACCAACTGAGCCACCCAGGCGCCCCTATAAGATTTTATTTTTAAGCAATCTCTACACCCATTGTGGGGCTCAAATTTACAACCCTGAGAATCGAGTCGCACACTCTACCAACTGAGCCAGCCAGGCGTCCCAACTACATTATCAAGTTTAAAATGTAAATGTAACTTGATTAAAATTAAATACAATTTAAAATTCGGTTCCTCAGCAGCACTAGTCCCATTTCAAGTGCTCGACAACCACAAGGGGCTAGTGGCCACCGTACTGGTTAGCACAGCTCTGGGCCATACAGCTTTATCTGGTGTGAAGGTAGGATGGGGAGGGGAGGTCCAGTGGGAGGGATGCCAACTGGGGACAAGCTGTGGGAGGGAAGGAGGGGGTACGCTGCCGTGGCACGCCTGGGCCCATCTAAAATGAGGAGGGATGACTGGCCATGACTCCCACCAAGCAGCACAGACCTGGCCCATTCATCTGGGGAGCGCTTCCTATGGGAGTTCTATAGGTCTGGGCTTCTTCCCATGGGGGAAGTAATGGCCCTCAGATCCCTGGGTTGAGCAAATGGTGGCTCCTCTCAGAGTTTCTATCCCCCCAGCGCCACCACAAAAGGATCCTGGGGGTGCATGAGGTTGGATCTGAGCAGGCTCAAGCTTGGCAGGTGGAATGAGCCCTAACTTCCCTCTCCCACCTGTGGGCAGCTGGAGTGGGGGTCAGGTATGTGTGTCCCTGGTGAAACCACTTGGAAGTCTAGTATACCTGGGTTCCAATCCCATTTCAGCCAATTCCTTGCTGTGTGACTTGAGACAAGATGGGTCCCCTCTCTGAGCTTCAGTTTTTTTCATCAGGAAAATAATAACAAATAATGGAATGTTGTGAGAAGTACCCAGCTTCTAGTAAACAATCAAATATTAGCTATTCTTCCTAGATAATGTCCTTTTCCTGTTAAGAACAGGAAGAACAGGGTGCCTGGGTGACTCAGTCAGTTAAGCGTCTGCCTTCAGCTCAGGTCATGATCCCAGGGTCCTGGGATCGAGTCCCACATCGGGCTCCCTGCTTGGCAGGAAGCCTGCTTCTCCCTCTCCCACTCCCCCTGCTCGTGTACCCTCTCTCACTGTCTCTCTCTCTCTGTCAAATTAATAAATAAAATCTTAAAAAAAAAAAAAGAGGGGCACCTGGGTGGCTCAGTCGCTTAGGCGTCTGCCTTCGGCTCCGGTCAGGATCCCAGGGTCCTGGGATGGAGCCCTACATCGGGCTCCTTGCTCGGCGGGAAGCCTGCTTCTCCCTCTCCCACTCCCCCTGCTTGTGTTCCCTCTCTCACTGTCTCTCTCTGTCAAATGAATAAATAAAAATCTTAAAAAAAAAAAAAAAAGAACAGGAAGAACATTGGTGATCGCTGGAAAGGAGATGTCTGAAGTGGGTTGTAGAGGGAGGAAATTAATCGTGGGTGGATGAGGTTTCCCTCCTCAGGGCTCCTCTACTTCCCCTGCATGACACCAACCAGTTTAACCTTCAAGAGTGGGAAGGAGGATCTGCTGCTCCCACGAGCCCCAGATGCCCAAGCATGAGGTAAAAACAGCCAAGAGCCAACTTCCAGAACTGAGGAGGGTGAGTCAAACTGAATCAGGAGCAGGTGAGGACACCTGGGTTTCTGGAATTACGCAGAGTGACACTAGGCACCAGGTACATGCCTGGCAGGAGCGTTAGATGAACTGGACTCCAGGAAAGCAGGTGGGGCTGGAAAGCACCCCAGACAAGGAAACCGTTGGGGTGGAAACTCCAGGCAGGCAGTACAAGGCCTGAGAGGAGTCTGGGTATTTTGGGGTGGGGCAGCTCCAACTCCTCCTCCCAGTTAACACCCTACTTGGGCCAAGACCCCAACCTTTCCCACTTCACCTCCCCAGCCCCCCAGACTTTTGCTCTGCTGGGTCCTCCCAAATGTGGGAGCTGAGGTGGCCCCAGGTCCTTTGCCCTGCCAAAAGCCTCTTAGCTCTTGTCACCCTGTCCTGCCAACATTTCTAATATTTCCTCTCATCTGTCAGCCCTACTGAAATGGACTCTCCTGGAGGTAGGACAAGCCTCCCTTGCTCGCTGCTGTATCTCCTGGACATAGCTCAGACGCCAGCATTCAGTTGAGTGCTTAGTAGACACTTGTTGCAGCAACAGATTAAAAACCTGGGTGGGTTCTCATTGCATTTCTAACACTCATTAGGTGGCTGTGGGTCAGCCTCTCGGAGCCTCGTTTCCGTACCTGTAAAACGGGAAATACAATCCCTGTGAAGAACCTGGAAGGACCCAGTCAGAAAGCAAGGAGCTTCCCCAACGAGCTGGATCAAGGAAGCTTCTGGTGGGTGATACTTCAGACACAGCCTGTGAGCAAACCAATTTATAGGAGAGGAAACCAAGGCACCAGGACTTCACGCTGACAGGCTGCCCAGGGAGAGCGGGTGAGGTCTCCTTCCAGAACCTCTGGTTAGATCAGGCTCATTCAATCTCCCTGCGGGTTTCCATTCAGAGGTCTCGGGGTGCCAGCCTATCATTTCCTTGGGAGATGGCCTTTCCCCACTCCACTCCTGTTTGGGGTGGGGCCTGGCCCCTGGTGGGAAGGAGGGTGCTGGAGACAGCAGAAATGGCTGCCTCTGGTGCTGGCTGTTGGAGTCACAGAGCCAGGGTTGTGTGTGTGTGTGTGTGTGCACTCCTCAGTCTAAGTATCCACTGGATCCTCACTACACCCCAAGAGGGGGGCAGTCCAGTCTAGGGTGCGATGCTGGGACTCTGGAGTCAGTCTGGAGTCATTAAATGAGATAATGCCTGTAGCTCTTCCTAAGTGCCAGTCTCCCACCTGAGAAAGTGGGCTCTGGGGATGATGCATGTTTTCAGCACCTAGCTCAGGGCCCTGCTCACCATAAACACTCAAGAAATAGCAAGTGTTTTTTGTTTTACTTATTGATTGATTGGTTGATTGATTTTTAGTACTCTCTACACCCAACGTGGGGCTCGAACTCACGACCCCGAGATCAAGAGTCACATGCTCCACCAACTGAGCCAACCAGGTGCCCCTGTTTGTTTGTTTTTTAGACTATCAAACCTGTGAGAGCACAAGGGACACTTGTTTTGGTCATTGCTTACCTGTAGCCCTCACCCCTAGTAGGTGTGTGGGCGGCTACATGGATGCGTGGGAGGAAGGAGGGGAGAAAGAGAAGGAAAAGAAGGAGGGGGGGGCGGGAGAAGAGGAAGAAGGGAAGAAGGAGCAGGTTTGTTCTGGCAGCTCCCAGCATCCATGCCCCCCACACTCTCCCTCTGTTCCCAGGACACCAGGGAGCTGACCCAAGGCTCCTCTCACTGGGTGCTGTGTGAAGAACTGATCTCAGAACTGTTCTCAGGGAGAAGAACTGATCTCAGAACACTGAAAAGTCTTAGGGATTATCTCAGTGGAGTAATGGAGAGTGTAGGTTTTGGAACCAGACTTCCACTGCTTGCAGACCTTGGGCATGATCATTAACCTCTCTGGGCCTCAGTTTCCTCATCTGTAAAATGGGGTCACTAGTATCCACTTCACAGAGTTGTGAGGATTAAATGAGCTAATGCATGAGATGCTCTTGAATCAGTGGAAAGCACATAGTAGGCACTCAATGAATGGTGGCCAAGATGAAAAAGCTTGCCCTCAGGAAAGATTCTTTTTTTTTTTTATTTTAAGATTTTATTTATTTATTTGACAGAGAGAGACATAGCGAGAGAGGGAACACAAGCAAGGGGAATCGGAGAGGGAGAAGCAGGCTTCTCGCAGAGCAGGGAGCCCGATGCGGGGCTCGATCCCAGGACCCTGGGATCATGACCTGAGCCGAAGGCAGACGCTTAACGACTGAGCCACCCAGGTGCCCCCCTCAGGAAATATTCTATGAGCTACTTCTCACTATAGTGTGAATGAATGTTAAGCCCTACTATACTGCCTCTCTCAGGGGAATTTGAATCTTAAGGGTAATTGAAGGAGTGAAATCCTGTCTAATGATGGAATTTTTTTATGGTAAAGGAGGTACAAAAGGGGTAGAAAAGGGCCTTCTTAGGGCCTCTCAAAATCACCGTTGCTGCCTACTGCACAAATTCTGCCTGGTCCCAGAGAGGGACCACATACAGGAGAAGGGAGAACATAGTCCTAGTCCCCAAAGAATCTCCCCTCTGCTTGGAGAAACAGGAAGCAACTAGACCCCGGGACAGTGCATAACCAGAGCTGATGTGGAAGGCCTTCCATAGCATGGCAGGCAATAGCCCAGGGCCAGCTATCAGAGAGGCTTCCAGGACCCTCCAGGGATAACAGCCAGGGTGGGAGGTGGTGATGGGTACCAGATGTGATAAGGAGTGACCTGGGACCAATGAAGGAGGCCTGGGCTCTCTCCCAGGGCAAGGGCCTCACCTTCCACATCCACGTTTTCTCTACTAGGTGCTTAGTAGCAGGCTGGCACGCAGAGTGGAAGGTGTAGAGGAGTTAGGGTTGTGGGTTCTGGAGTCTGACGGCCAGGGCTCAGTCCCCGCCCCAACTCTTCTCAACCGTGTCACCTTATGACCTCAGTGTGGAAGACACAGGTCAGATTAGCCGCTAGCACCCATTCCCCATCTTTTCTGTTCCTCCTTGGGAGAAACATTCCTCCCTCCTTCCCTTTCAGCCCCTTGGTACCCACGAGGCTGCATGTGACCAGGCCGCCAATCAGTGCAGATTCTTCCCCAGCAGTGTCTTATGTAAGTGTGGTCACATGACCCCCTAACCAGCGTCTGCCATGTGTGATTAGAGTAAATCCTGGGACTCGTGTTGCAATTACTAAGACCCTCTTTTATACAGAACTAGGACTCGGGATGATATGAACCTGGAGCTGCTCGTAGAAGACCACTCATGGAGCCCAAATGTGGCGCCAAGATGGTGAAGGCAGAGTGGAGAGATTCAGTCTTTATGACATTTTGGAGTCTCCAGATCAAGTCATGCCTGGATTTTTCAGTTTCCTGAGCCAGCAAATTCCCTTTTTAGCATAAACCAGTTTGAGTCAGGTTTTCTGTCATTTGCATCAGAAAGAGTCTGAAATTCACATGGTGAACTTTCTTTCCTTTTTTAAATTTTTATTTATTTATTTATTATTATTATTTTTAAAGATTTTATTTATTTATTTTTTTTTTAATAATTTTTTTTTAAAATTTATTCATTTGAGACAGAGAGAGAGAGAGCGGGAGCAGTGGGGAGAGGCAGAGGAAGAGGGAGAAGCAGACTCCCTGCTGAGCAGGGAGCCCGATGTGGGGCTTGATCCCAGGACCCTGGGATCATGACCTGAGCCGAAGGCAGACGCTTAACGACTGAGCCACCCAGGCGCCCCTCTTTCCTTTTTTTTTAATGAAGATTTTATTTATTTATTTGAGAGAGAGAGAGAGCATGAGCAGGGTGAGGGGCAGGGGGAGAAGCAGACTCCCTGCTCAGCAGGAAGCCTGACGTGGTGCTCAATCCGGGGATTCCAGGATCATGACCTGAGCCAAAGGCAGATAGATGCTTAACCGACTGAGCCACCCAGGCGCCCCCATGGTGAATTTTCTTAACTTCTCTACAAACTTCAGTTTGCTCCTCTACAAAATGGGGATAACAGTCCACAGTATTTTTCAGGAGAGAAGAAGGGTTGTTCTGGGATGATTAAAAGGGTTGATCAGGGTTCAACACAACATAGAGCCTGACTATTGTTAGGCACTCAAAACCCATCAATTTTTACATGCTCCAGAAGTGTTTGTTACTGATTTTGACTCTGGCCCCTGGGAGTGACCTGCAAGGGCATCTGGGCAAAAGCTTCTCCCTGAGTGTGCGGCCCTTGGAAACTCTGGTGTTTTTGTGTTGGGGTGTGTGTTTGACCAAGAAAGGTTCTAGTGGGTGTCATGATTATTTTTCCGAATCCTCACTCTAATCAAGCCCGTTTTACAGATGAGGAATGTCCGGCTCAGAGATTGGGTCCCGCCTGATGCTACATCCAGTGCCCATTCTGGCTGGAGCACGTTAGTGCTGTCCCATCAGGTGGCTCCTTGCCGGGTCTCAACCCCAATCAGGCTTGGTTAAATGGTTCTGTTATTGTTAAGCGGAGGCTTCCAGAGGTAATTTTAGGCGGTTTTGAGAGAGCAAAAGTAGTTACAAACACTCTCTCCCTCCTTCTCGCGAAGGCGGGCTCTATCTTCTTCAATCTGTTGTCTCCTGAAAAGGGAACTTTCCGGAGAAGGCGGAGAAAGCGGGAAAGGCTCGGTTTCCCCTTTCTGATCTGTTGTAATCAAGGCTCTGTCACCAGTGAGTGGCGGTTTACCCCCAGACGGAGTCTGACGCAGTTTTGCTAAAGGAAACCGTGCAAGTCTCCGAGCTTGGCACGACCCTTCCTTCCGGGCAGGCCAGGGTGCCGGGGCGGGGGTGGAACGCACCTCCCACTTTCCCCCCCGGCTACCACCAAGCCGGCCAGAGCCTTCTCGCGCCTGGGAATTGAGCTCACCCGAGGCCTCTGGCGACCTGCATTGCTGGGAAGAAGAACGGCTTCCTCCCCAGTCCAACAACCCAGCTCTGCGGCTCCCCAGGCCCGCCCGAGGAAACCTCCTGCGAGAGGCTCCCCACCTCCCCGTACCTCCCACCCCGACTCTCGGGACACAGCTCCATCGAAGCCACGATGGCCACGAGAAGTGCGATCAAGCGCCGGCGGGTTTCCCCGCGGGCAGAACAGGAAGCGAGATGTGTCACCCCCACTAATCCTCCAACAGGGTCCCATCACCCGGCCTCCAGTTGGTCCCTTCTGGTGGTGGAGGCGGGATCTCGAGCACAGTGGCCAATGAAGAGGCTCACGGGGGTGCTTTTTGGTTGCCATGGCAACAGGGCGCTGCATCCATCTTCCCCACTGGGTGGAGCCCGCTTTTCCAAGAACCACATTCTATGGTCCCAGTTCTACTTCAGGATAGAGTGGGGGTCGGAAGTTGGGGGACAGCCAGGACACGAACCCTTCACAAATGCCAGGAGTGCAGATGAGCCCACCGCGCCCAAGGATAAGAAGAGAAGGCTGCCTAGAGGAGGGGCAGTATGAATGGAGTTCTGTGAGAAGGGACGAAGAAACCCAATTTCCTGCTATGGCCTGGACACAGCCCTGCAGAGGCAAGGCACAAGGCTGGACAAATTTAGGTTGGAATAAATGGGGTTGGTGCTTAGCAAGCAGATTAGGGCTTCCAAGCCAAGACCCACCCAGGGAAGGGTGGGGGACCAAGATGAGCAGCTACAGCTGAATTGTGGGTCTCGCACTGTCCTTCAGTCCCGGGCAGCAGGAGAGAACCTAGGGTCACCTAGGCCATTCCCTTGCCTCCAGGCAGCTTGCACTAAGTCTTAGGTATAGTCACATCCGGTCTTGGGCATTCATTAACTTCATACTCTTCCCAGGAAAGAGGAAGGTGACCAGGTTCATTTTTCCCATTTCACAGATGAGGAAACTGATGCCTGTCTGGTAAAGTATCTCAACCTTGGGCCCTAGGGCCTGGCATTGGCCCAAGCAGGGCTCTCCAGGCCTTTAATTCCTTGGTGTGGTGGCTTGGCCAAGGACTCCCATGCCATAGTTCTGAAGCTGTCCACCCTTGCTGATGATGCAGGGATTGGGAGCCAACCGAACCCCGTGTTTAATGAGGTAGGTGAGCCAGGACAGAGAATCTTGCTCCTGCCTCTGATGGCCCTGGGAGGTGGGGGTGCAGCAAGACTCCCAAGTCGGTCACTCTGGGAGGGAATCCAGTGTCGCCCCACACTCCAGGTCTCAAAGCCCACAGTCCAGTGGGCAGAAAGACCTGCAGTGACCACACGATATGATAAATGCTGCAGGAGTAACATGGATAAAGCACAACAAAAGAGGTGCCTGAGTCTGCCCAGAGAAGCCAGGGGAGACCTCACAGGGAGGCAGTCTTTCCAGTGACACAAACAACACAAGACTTTGCTAGGCAGACAAACAAGGGGAGGGCATCCCAGGCAGAGGGAGCAGCATTTGCAAAGACCTAGAGGCCTGGACGAGTAGGGTGCACTGGGAAGCTGCAGTCTGGGAGTCAGGAGTGGGACTGTGGCAGGCTCTAGGTTGTAGAGTGAAGGCCCAGGGCAGGACTGTGTGCCCTGTAGTGGGATGCTTTCAACTCCTTTCTGAACCACCAGGCACCCCACATTTGCTTTCCTCTAGCTGGTAGATTAATGGAACCCTAAGAATGACTTGTGAGGATCCGACTTTAAGAAGCACTGGATGAGAAGCTAACATGCCAACAGCATGGATGAATCTCATGGGCATTATGTTGAGAGAAAGAAGCCAGGGACCAAAGAGTCATTCTATATGGCCCAGTTATATATCAAGTTCAAAAATGGGAAAAACCCATCTATGATATGAAGAATAGTGGTTATCACTGAGGGGTGTAGGAGTTCTTGAGGAGGGTCTCCAGGGAGGCAGTAATAATATTATGTTTCCTGTTGGGTTTCACAGATGTGTTCTCTTTGTGAAAATTCATCCATCTATATACTTAAGGTTTGTGTATTTTTCCATATGTAGCGTCTACTTAAATTAAAAATAAAAAACAAAACTCAAGGGGCGCCTGGGTGGCTCAGTTGGTTAAGCATCTGCCTTCAGCTCAGGTCATGATCCTGGGGTCCTGGGATTGAGTCCCACATTGGGCTCCCTGCTCAGCCGGGAGCCTGCTTCTCCCTCTCCCTCTGCTGCTCTCTCTCTCACCCTCTCAAATAAATAAAATCTTAAAAAACAAAACAAAACAAAACTCAAGTTGACTGCTTTCCATAAACATTAGTGCAAATGTAGACACTAAAATTTTGTGATCACATAATCGGCTGTAAGCCAAGCATCCAGATGATGTAGAATCTGTTTATACTGATTTTTTAAAGATAATTCCAAAATGAAAACATAGGCATCTTAAGTCTCATAGAGATGTCTCAGACTCCAGAGAACCCGTGTACAGACACCAGGGCTTGAGAAACTCCAGCTCAAGAGGAGGCATGACAATGCTCACTGCTGGGGACGCCTGGGTGGCTCAGTCGGTTGTCTGTCTTCGGCTCTGGTCATGATCTCAGGGTCCTGGGATCGAGTCCCGCATCAGGCTCCTTGCTCAGCGGGAAGCCTGCTTCTCCCTCTTCCTCTGCCGCTCCCCCGGCTTGTACTCTCTCTCTCTCTTTCTCTCTGATTAATAAATAAAATATTTGGAAAAAAAAATGCTCACTACAGGGTTTGGGCATAAAGGGTAAATGAGGGACCTGGAGCCTCTTCCTGGAGCACAGAGGGGTAATGTCCTTTTCCAATAAGATGCCTAGTCCCAGGAGGCCAAGGACCCTCAGGCAGAGGGGACCATTTCCCCCACTGCTGGAGTGGCAGCAGACACAGCTTTATCATAGCTGGGATGGCCAAGAGAGGCGGGTTTCCCTGGCGCTGCTGTGAGCTCCTGGAGAGCAGGGGTCTCTTTCACTCACTCTGTGTCCTGGTGCCCAGCAAGGGGCCTGGCACACAGAGGGTCTCAGATGACCTTTCCTGCCAGGCCTCGTTGCCCAATCCCACGTAGAGAGTGGAGGAGGGGGACCTGTTTGGGAAGTTGTGAGTCCCACAGCACAAGCTAACAAACCATAGCTGGGTGATGTTGCAGGAGAGATTCAAGATGGGGTTCGGGTTGTCTGATTCCCCCTGGCAGGGGAGAGCTGGATGAAAGGGGGCTCTGAGCCCCGGGGACTGCAAGACAGACATGAAATCCCAGTCCTGCCTGCCCACCTGCCTTGCTGGGGCTGGTAACAGCCCAGCTCTGGGCGGGGAGACTGTTCCAGAACCCAGAGAGGGCTGCATCTGGGGGCAGGACGCTCAACAGTTGTCACCCACCCCACCCCACCCCCGTCCTCTGGGACTTCACTTCTCATCCTTCCCCTGACTCACCCTCTCTTGCCCACTCTGTAGAACCAGCCTCCTTGGTTCGCCGTGGCCCGCTCCACGTAGCTGGCATTTCTCAAGGCACCTTCACAATTTCCACCCTAGCCTCATGCTACCTGGGGTATCATTTACTCAATATTTTTTCTGTGAAACAATGGTAAGTTTTGTTGCTGTTGTTGTCTTAACATGCCCCTGTTCTAAGCAATAATGCTTATAAAATCCTGGATTTGATGTGCTAGTTTTTTTTTTTTCTAACACACATGAAATTTTAATTTAAAATACTTGAGTGCGTGTTATGGTGAGCACTGTGTATTGTGTAAGACTGATGAATCATAGACCTGTACCGCTGAAACAAATAATACATTATATGTTAATAATATAAATAAATAAATAAATAAATAAATAAATAAATAAATAAATAAATAAATAAATAAATAAAATACTTGCTCTCAGGGCACCTGGGTGGCTCAGTTGGTTAAGCGTCTGCCTTCGGCTCAGGTCATGATCCCAGGGTCCTGGGATGGAGCCCCGCATCAGGCTCCCTGCTTGGCGGGGAGCCTACTTCTCCCTCTTCCTCTGCTGCTCCTCCTGCTTGTGCTCGCTCTCTCTCTGTCGAATAAATAAATAAAATCTTAAAAAAATAATAAAATAAAATATTTGTTCTTGTATCAGCTAAAATTGTCTTGGGTGCCACCCCACTGGAAACCATTTTCACACAGTGGTTCAGCAGGGATGGATGGTTGTTATTTTTTAATGATAATTACACCTCAACGTTGCTGGTGAGTTTTATGCCTCGTCCACACACTCATGTCTCATTTGACCCTCAATTCCTGCACTGTGGATGTCATTGACCTCATTTGACAGATGAGGAAACTGAAGCTCAAAGAGTAGTAGTGACTTGCCTGGGGTTCACCTCGACTGAGGACTTCGGTCCTGATTCAAGGCTCCAGCAGCTCCTGACCTAGGATGAAGGCAGGGAAGCAAGGACCATTTCCCTGTCTGCAACCACAAAAGCCACAGGATGGAAACTCTTAGCATAGAAAGTTTGGAATAGACATGAGGAAGGACTTCCTGGCTAGAAATGTTTAGACATGAGAATGGCTGACCAAGGAAGGGTGTGGAATGCCCAGCTTCCGAAGTCCTCAAAACAAGATAAAGGCTTGCCCAGCTGGGATAATTCCAGTGCTGCCTGGAGACAGGGGAATGGACTGAATGACCTCTCCAGGCCTCGTCCAGCCTCAAAGATTGGGTGCGCCCTGCATCAAGGCGGCCATCCCTGTCATTTCCCCAAAGGAGCTGTTAAACAAGGAAAGGCACCCCGCCTCGTAGCCCCCGTGGAAAAGAACTGGGAAAACCCACGTCTTGGCCCCGCCCCCGGGAGGGAGGAGTCAGCAACAGCTGGCCAGGGAGGCAGGAGCCCCCTTTTCCTTCCCACCCTGGGGGGAGCTCTACCCACCTCCTAGGGGGTTCTCCAAGACCTGGCTGCCCTCAGAATCACTGGGGCTGCTCCTCCTGGGCCAGGGAACCTGCAAGTCTTTATTCCTCCCTGGGGGAGTCTTTTCAAAATTCCCTGATAGAGGAAGTTAGACATATCCTGATTTCAGGTATTGCTTCCCCATGAGCCAAATTATATATATAATTTTTTCAAATTATATATTTTTTTGAAAGTCAAAGTGTTTATTTCTCAAAGCAGAAAGGATATTATCTTACCAATACATGCCCAATTGCTTACTACAATTGCCCAATTGTAATATAGGCCCAACTGCTCAAGAAAAAGCAAATAATATAGGAAAGTATAAAAACGAAAGTGAAGTTACCCAAATTTCTATCATCTAGAAAAATAATGCTGTTGACATTTTGACATAAAACAATGCATGTCCTTCCAAAATTTTTGTTTTCATGGTAAAATACATGTAACATAAAATTTATCATTTTAACCATTTTTAAGTGCACACAAATCATTTATTTTCATTCCAGTATAGTTAACATACAGTGTTATGTTAGTTTCAGGGGAACCACATAGTGCTTTAACCATGAATCAGATTTTTATAAGGCCTCCTGAGGCTAGGGCTAAGAGCGCAACTCCAGACACCTCAGTGGGCCAGGAGGGAGGTGTTTTGGGGTGAGGGTCCTTCGGACATCGCTCACATGGAAACACAGAGGCAGTCAGCCACTGTGTGGGGTGGTCAGGTGGGTCCTGTTAAAATGTGACAGCTGGGAAAAATTCTATTTAAGTGTCTGAAGGCAAGTGGGTCTCTGTCTTCTGGCGGGGCCTCATGAGGAGCAGCAAGGGCCGTGGTTTTGCTGAACTTTCTTTTTTTAATTTTTTTAAAGATTTTTGTATTTTTATTTATTTGACAGAGAGAGACACAGCGAGAGAGGGAACACAAGCAGGGGGAGTGGGAGAGGGAGAAGCAGGCTCCCCACTGAGCAGGGAGCCCGATGCGGGGCTCGATCCCAGGACCCTGGGATCATGACCTGAGCTGAAGGCAGTCGCTTAACCAACTGAGCCACCCAGGCGCCCTCTTTTTTTTTTTTTTTAAGATTTAATTTATTTACTTGATAGAGAGCACAGAGAGAGAGCATGAGCAGGGGAGAGGGGCAGATGGGAGAGGGAGAAGCAGACTCCCCACTGAGCAGGGAGCCTATAGATAGAGGGCTCCATCCCAGGGGCCCCGATCATGACCTGAGCCGAAGTCAGACGCTTAACTGACTGAGCCCCCCAGGCGCCCCTCCCACCACATTCCTTACTCAGCCTCTGTATTTGCCCTCTGTGCACCCCAACTGAGCCGTAAGATCCTGAGGGTAGCTACTACTGAGTTCACAATTCCCACTGCACCCACTTCAGGACCCTGCACGGAGCACATGTTCTGGCTACACCCACGTGGGGAGGCCGGTGGGAGGGGTCCTGGCAACATGGACAGTTGGGGTTCTGGGGGGAGCAGTTCTAAGCTTGGAACAGGCTTGGAAGGCTTCCAGGAGGAGGTGCGGGATCCACAGGGTCTTGGGTGTAGCCTAGAGCTCAGCTAGAGGAGAGGGAGCAGGTAGGGGGGCACTCTGAGGGGAGGGCCTGTGGGGGAGAGCTGGGGTGGGGCCCACACCCCCGAAAGTCGCTCATGTGGTGACTTCTAGGTTGAGATGCCCTTGCAGACTCGCACCTGTGTCTGCCAGGAGGCGAGGGCGAGATTCGGGGGCTCCAATTACAGTCATGAGCAGGGTTGTTCTCAGGGGTGCCGCCTCTTCCCAGAAGCCGACTTTTGAGGAATCCACTCGGTCACGGCAATCACGATGCGCTGGCTTCAGCTGTTGATTAAACCTCCATCCGTGCGACTAGCAGCTCAGGAAGAACTCTCTTCCTCACAGTGTGTCCCTGCTCCTGTTTTCGTGTTTATGGGCATCATCAGGTGGTTTGCAGAGGGATCCACACCCAGCCATTCGCACCCAGTGAGGTCAGCTGGGAAAACAGCTGCTGCCAGCCTGCTGCCCCTTGTTCTGGAAACTCAGGCCCGGGCCGCCATCAACCCTGGCCTTGCCCCCCACCCCGCCTCCACCTGCCCCCAGCGCTCCTCTTCTGTCCCCGCTCCAGCCTCGTGCCTGCCCAAACAATTGTTTATCAACACAGACCAGAACATTCTGCCAGCAGAAACACACATGGTCAAGGCACTGCCATCGCACGCCCTGCTATCAACACACTCCCACGCACTGTTTGCTGTTGTCAGAGCTGTGCTCACCCACACCTTCTCACCCCCTCCTGCCAACACAGCTGTTCCCTGCTGCTTGGAAGCGGGCCCTCCGTCTCACACGACACACGTGGGCTCCGTGGGGTTTTCTCATGTGGACTCAACCGTGGAGGCTCACCGGCATGCACCAGGCCAGCACCCACTCTGTGCCCTGACCTGGGCCATCAACCTCTTCACTTGCTACTGTGTGACTTTGGGCCGTTGACTTGGCCTCTCTGGGCATCAGATGCCTCAGCTGCAGAATGGGGGTGATTACCGCCTCGGGCTCTCTCCAAAGGCTTGGGGTCAGGCGAGGGAGCAGGCATCCAGTAAGTGTACCATCTGTGGGAGCTCCGGCGGTGGTGAGGACAAGTGGCGCATCCTTTCTGGCATCTGGCCATTAGTTTTCCTTTCCCACGCCCGGCTGTCGGCTTCACGTCATGTTCACGCCTTCCTGGCCGTGACCTTGAGGGAGGCACGCCACCTGTCCACTTCTCAGGCCCCTGCTGGTGAAATGGGGGGGGGGGGTCACGATGGCCTGGCCATGCCCACAGGCCTGCTGTGACGGGCTGGGGGGGAGGGCTGCCATCAGTCCGGGTCACAGGCGCAGGGCATTGTGGAAGAAAGGGATCTGAATGGGGCAGCAGCCAAACTTGGACATTTTAAGCCATTTTCCACCATCCTGCATCTCCTCGGTCAATCCTCAAGCCAGAGTCAGTGGTCCCAGTTGGGCTTTGTGGGGCTGCCCTCCGCCCCAGAGGCCGCGCTGGCCCATCTCTGCCTCAGCCGGGGGCCTCGCCCGAGCCTCCACCGACCCTCACCACCACGGCCTCCCTCGGGCACAGCGGCTCTTCCCAGCACCACCACTCTGCGGGCTGAGACCATTGGCTTGCCCATCTCCCACTCCTTACTTCCCCCCAGAGTCTAAGGGACCCCCACGCCCCTCGCCCTGTACTCCCCTCCACCCTGTCACTTTCACCAGGACCCTTTCAGTCTTGTCCCTTCAACCCTGTCTTTCCTTCTCTGTGGTCAGCACAGCCACTCCAGCCTTTCCTATTCTGGAAAACGGAGGTGTAGGCAGAAGGGTAGAAAACAAATGTGATTTGCAGACTGAGGAGAATCTGTGCTGAGCGGGTGGTTGCACGTTATAGGGATGCAGGTTCTGCGGTGGGTTGAGCATCACGTGGAGCCACGTAGGAGATCTGGACTTCTCCCCACACTGTAGCAACTAACTTCCTGACCCTTGATGAAATTAGGTGAAATTGCTAGAGGGAAGCTTCCGGCCTGGTCTCTGCTCAGAGCTTGTGGCTTCTCTCTGTCACTCCGAGGGACTTCCCTGCTTTGACCACCACTGAGGGGCCGTAGGAGAACCATGGTAAGCAGGGCACAGGGCAAGAGCGCAAATGGAAACCTATACACCACATGTCTAAATATTCAACATGTACAAGTCAAGCTAATAAGCTGTCAAGTCAAATGTATTTTCTACCTCCGTAAACACGCTGTCACAATGATCTGGAAAGTCAAGTTTGAATTTAGAATTCTTGGCCTCTTCCGAGTTCCTCCCCTGAACGTGGGTCTATGTGAGAGAGCCGGGCCGGAGGTGTGACCCCATGTGCCCTGGGGTCTAGGGCAGTTGGCTGATTTGGCACAAACACAAGCTAAGTTTTAATCTCATCAATCACCTTTTGCTTTTTATTTTCCCCAGGCCTTGAGAAAATAAAAAGTGTGCACAGTGGTTAAGACCTGCCTCCAAATCCCAGGGCTGCCAAAACTGAGCACTTAATCTCTTTGAGACTCAATTTTCCCTTTTTATAAAATGGAACTAATGATACCTCCTTGACAAAGATGTTGTGATTATTGGGGCGCCTGGGTGGCTCAGTTGGTTAAGCGGCTGCCTTCAGCTCAGGTCATGATCTCAAGGTCCTGGGATTGAGTCCTGCTTCTCCCTCTGATTGTGTGCTCTCTCTCTGACAAATAAATAAAAATAGTTGGTTATCTTTGGTTGGCTCAGCTCCACAATCTTGGACGCCATCTAGTTTCTACTATTTCTATCCTCAGAGAAGAGGTGAAATTCATCTAGTGCAAGATGAATTCTGTATTGTCTTATTTTGCATGTGAATAAGCCTATTTTATTTGTGTTTCCTCTTAAAGTTTTACTAAAGGTACCAAGAATGACACAATAAACACGTAGATACCCTCTGGCTAGATTCAACTATTGTTAACTTTTTGACATATTTGCTTTATCTGTACCATTTTTTTGGTGAACCATTTGAAAAGAAGTTGCTGGCATCATGATAGTTCACCCCCAAATACTTCAATATGAATTTCTTAGGGATAGGCTCTTCTCCTAGATGATCACATTTTTTTTTTTAGTAATTTTATTTCATTTAAGAAATTCCAGGGGCGCCTGGGTGGCTCAGTTGTTAAGTGGCTGCCTTCTGCTCAGGTCAGGATCCCAGGGTCCTGGGATCGAGCCCCGCATCGGGCTCCCTGCTCCGCGGGAAGCCTGTTTCTCCCTCTCCCACTCCCCCTGCTTGTGTTCCCTCTCTCGCTGTCTCTCTCTCTGTCAAATAAATAAATAAATAAATAAAATCTTAAAAAAAGAAATTCCAGTATAATTAACATATTAACATATAACATGCTATATTAGTCTCAGGTACAGAGTATAGTGCTTCAACAATTCTATACATTATTCAGTGCTCATCACAATAAGTGTATTCTTAATCCCCTTCACCTATTTTGCCCATCCCTCCCTCCCCCCCACTGACCTCCCCTCTGGTGACCACCAGTTTGTTCTCTATACTTAAGAGTCTGTTTTCTTGGTCTCTTCTTGTGATTGTTTTGTTTCTTAAATTCCATATATGAAAACAAAAATTCCACATATGAGTGAAATCATATGGTATTTGTCTTTCTCTGACTTATTTCACTTAGCATAATACACTCTAGCTCCATCCATGTTGTTGAAAATGGCAAGATTTCATTTTTTTTATGGCTGAGTAATATCCCATTATATAGATATACCACATCTTTTTTTTTTTTTAAGATTTATTTATTAGAGAGAGAGCGTGCGAGCAGGGGGAGGGGCAGAGGGCGAGGGAGAGAGAAAATCCTCAAGCTGACTCTCTGCTGAGCACAGAGCCAGATGCAGGGCTTGATCCCAGGACCCCAAGATGATGACCAGAGCCAAAATCAAGAGTCAGACCCTTAACTGACTGAGCCCCCCAAGCGCCCCTATACCACATCTTATTTATCCATTTATCTATGGATGGACCCTGGGTCTGCTTCCATATCTTGGCTATTGTAAATAATCGTTCAATAAACATAGGGGTGCATATATCTTTTTGAATTAGTGTTTTCCCATTCTTTGAGTAAATACCCAGTAGTGGAATTACTGGATCATATGGTAATTCTATTTTTAATTTCTTGAGGAACGTTCATACTGTTTTCCACAGTATGCTTTCCCACCCACAGTGCATGAGGGTTCCTTTTTCTCCACATCCTCACCAACACCTGTTGCTTCTTGTGTTTTTTATTTTTGCCATTCTAACAGATATCTCATTGTGGTTTCGACTAAATGATCACATTTTGATTCTCTAATCTGAAAACTAGCAATAGTTCCATAATATGATCTCATATTCAGTCCATACTCAAATTGATCAGGCCAATTTTCCCAAAATTCTGAATCTAATGAATTCCCCATCTGTGAGGCTTAAGGTCTTGACAATATTACCTGTGTAATGAGACATTTTGGAGCTCTCGAATTTGTAACCAAATGTCCAAAACTTTAACCGGGCAACACATCTAACATTTTTTTTCCTCTTTCACTGACAAGCTAGCTCCATTGAATGCTCAAAGGCACGTGGGTTGGGTCACTCCTGGAATTCCTTTTATTCCAAGACAATGGCCTTTTCAAGGAGTACCTGCAGGAAGACCTGTTTGGCGGGGGACCTCCCTGTGGGCGTGGCCTCAGGGAGCGGACCAGGAGGGAGGCTCACCCTTGACTGGGGTGGAGCCCCTGGGGCTGAGCTCCGCAGCCTCCAAAGCTGGCCAGGTTCCAATCTGGCATGGTTGCCCCTGCAGCCTTTCTGTGGGGCCCTTTCTGGGGAGTTCCAGATGGTGGCACAGAGGATTGTCCTGGCCTCCAAAAAGACGGCTGCACATCAACACTGAGGGAAGAAAATCCAGAGCTCAGGTTTCAGCCTTAGGTTTCAAAAACTGTTTCATAGTAAGGAACGGCATCAATAGAACGATGCAAATAAAAAGGGGCCAACAAAGATGGAGGCGGGGGTGGGTTGGAATATCTGGTCCATGATTCCTGGCTGCCTTCCTCCTCCAGCCTCCAGGCTTGCTCAAGCTTGGCTGTGAGTTCCAGCCAATGTATTTCTGGTTGGGACGGGAGCCAGGGGTCAGATAAAGTTCCAATGTATTTTGCAGCAGGCCTGACACTTTGCCCAGTACTCTGGGCCTGTGACAGCTGCCAGGATGGTATGTTGGGAAAGCCAGACCAGATGGAGCTGGTTTAAATGGGTTTGAAGGAGCAGGCAGTTGACGAACCAGACAGCTCAGCAACAGGCAGCTTGGTAACACCGTTGAACCAGCATGGCTGCGTGGGCCGCGGAGCGCCCAGCGTTCTATTCCCAGGAAGCCCCCAGCAGCCGCGATCCCCTGGCATCTCAGCGACCGAGATCTGTACTCTCATCTTATTGTCTTTAGTGAGACAAGTAAACACTTAACACAGCCAAGCACTTGACACTCATTATCTAATTTAACCCTCACCAATAGCTCAGTGAAGTAGGTACTGTTACTCTCCTAGCCACATGGATAATAGCTAATTCATACAGATAACAGATACACTTATGAGTTTTGGGCCTACTTCTAAACATTTGCTGTCCAGCTGAGGTTTCTTTATGGGGCACCTGGGTGGCTCCGTCACTTAAGCGTCTGCCTTCGGCTCAGGTCACGATCCCAGGGTCCTGGGATCGAGTGCCGCATCGGGCTCCCTGCTCCGTGGGAAGCCTGCTTCTCCCTCTCTCTCTGTGCTCTCCCTTTCCCTCTCTTAAATAAATAAATAAATAAAATCTCTAAATAAATAAATAAACACTCACCATGCATTAACGGGTTTACTAGGGAAACTGAGGCACAGAGGGGTAAAGCCAGTAGTCCAGGGACCCACGGCTGGTAGGTGTGGACCTGAAACTACTGGAAACTGAGTGACTCCAGATGGAGGGTACATCCCTGCACTAACCCAGGATTTTCCAGACAGGGAACCGGTTTTGAGGCAGGCAGGGGAAGAGAGGCCAGTTGAGATGGGAAACTGAAAATGAAGGCAAAGGGCCGTACTCTTTTCTACTTCCTGACAAGCATAATGAGAGGCCCCCGTGGGAATCGAAGCTCAGACATCTGACCCTGAGCCCTTTGCCGCTCTTCCTTCCTCCCTCCTGGCCCAGTTGGGCTGAATCGTGTGGCCTTGGATCCCCCGGGAGCCACTGGGGCACAGACGGCAGGC